ATTCACACAACATGAAGCTCCATGACACAAACTGTGACCAACTCACCGAACTTCATTTAGAAACGACTGGAACATTATTTTACTCTGAATTAACCAGATTTTATGTAAAATATCAACATTGTTTATGAATAATTTTCATATTTATTCAGATAAAAATGAAGATAATCTTTTATTTGAGGTATATGGGGATTTCACCAACAATGCTGTCCTGAATTATTTTCTATATTGATACTTTGAGTCTCAAATCAATAATATTTTAGATCTATATCAGGACTTACTTGTTTGAGTGTTTACTCTGGTTCCCTTTCCAAATAGGATTTTATATCCACCTGCAGTTTTCACACAGTAAGACGCACCATAACACGAACTCCGCAGACCGACCGACTCAACCAAACGACGTCAGAAAACAAATTCATTTCACACATAAATATCCAGAGTAGATTTAAAACTTTACGTCCTCGGAAATAATCATCATTTTACATTTGATATTAAGCCTGAATGATTAAAGTCCAATCACACAATACGACTGTTTCAGTAATAATCAATGTGCAATAAAGGCCACTGTACATATACAGTACCGTTACTGTGCAGCACTGTTTTAGCACAAATTAATATCAACACGTTTGTTTTGAAAGAGGCTTCATGTTAATATTTACAGTGTGTATCAGACTTACTGGGATCAATAGTTAATCTGGTTCTCACTCACCAAAACGAGCTTTCATTCCCTCCAGTTTTCACTACAACATGAAGCGCTCATGACAACAAACTCAGCAGAGACAGCTGAACAACGCAGACTTCATGTAGAAAATGACAAATCCAGACTTTAGAAGTTCAGATCAACATGTGTGTTTTATTGATTTTATGATTCAATGGTCATCAACACGTTTGTTTTTTAAAGATGCTTCACATGAATAATATTTATCAAATCTATATCAGACTTACTGGGATCAATAGTTAATCTGGGTTCCACTCCACAAAGATCATCTTATATCCAGCAGAATTTCACAAACATGAAGCTCCATGAACACAAACTGTGAGCAGCTGAACCAGACTTCATTTTTAAAAAACTAATTTTTCATTTTAACTATAAAATAAAAGTAGATTTAAGATTAACCTGTACATTAGTGATATTGATGATATTGATGATATTGATGATATGATGATTATTGAGGTGATGATTCTGATTAATACTCTCTCTGTTGATAATATTTATTATGATTTTAATTCTGATCAAAACTCTCAATTAAATCCTTAGCTAACTCCAAACCCTGCTGTTACCAGCCTCATATTAACATAGTGCAACACTGATGATCATAGATCAGACTTACTGGATCAATAGTTATCTGGTTCCACTCCCAAAGTCATCTTATTCCACCTCCAGAATTTCACACAACATGAAGCTCCGCATGACAACAAAACTCTGCTGCACCGACTGAACAGACTTCATTAGAAAACTACGGTTTTTTACATTAAAGACGTTCGTCAGTCATTTTTCCTTCATAATCAATGACGCATCATTTTATATTATAAGTATAATTTAAGGGTTGATATGGACGGAAATTGAAGCTCACGTGTTCTCACTTGTTAAAGACTGTTTTTTTCTTAGTTTGTAGGTTTTTTCTTGTCTTAAACAGTGTTGAACTAACATTATTTTTCCTTTTATAATAATATTATGAATCTAAAATCAGCACTTACTGGGATCAATAGTTAATGTCTGGTTCACTTCCAAAGATCATCTTAGATCCAGCAGAAATTCACACAACATGAAAGCTGCCATGGAACAACTCACTGAACCAGACTTCAGGTAGAAAACCTGATTTTAAGAATTCCTGTCCAGGTCACTGTTTTCATCAGGTTTACACTACGACATGAACATGTTCATTATATTACTTTCTAAATGCTTTTGTTCTTATGTTGCTAAATCCAGTTTGACAATATACTTTTTTTAATCTTGTTTTACCCTGTTATTACAATATGTTTCTGTAAAACTATGTAAAATTTACTTGTGGAAGATGCTGCAATATAAATAATCAATAATCTGTATCAGACTTATGGGATCATAGTTAATCTGGTTCACTCCCAAAGATCATCTTAGTTCCACCTCCAGAAATTCACACATACATGAAGCTCCATGACACAAAGACTCAGGCAGAGACCAGCTGAACCAGACCTTCATTTAGAACCACGTCATTTTTAATATTTGAGACTTTGCTGAATTTTTATATTTGAGTTTGCACAAATAAGCTTCTTGTTCTTCATTTAAAAAGAAATGTCTATTTTAAATAGTTTAAATTAAATTGTTAAATTCTGCCATTCTCTTTAGCAGTAGTAATAATACAAGAGAATATATACTGAAGACAAGATGATTTAGATCAACACTCTGAATCTCTGCGGTTTATGTGTTTCCATTATTACGATCATGCGTTTTTATTTCAGTCATGTTTCAAGGTAGAACGTTTTTAAAGACGCCTCATATAATTAAACATTTATTAATTTATATCAATCTTACTGGGCTCGATATTTCAATCTGGTTCCACTCCAAAGATGCATCTTTAATTCTGATTCCCAGTGTTCACAAACAGCCTGAAAGCTGCATGACAAGACACTCTGCTGCCGCTGACTCCAGCCACTTCACACTCCATTTAAATACGCACTTAAACATGTTTTCCTAAGTTTGTTCTTTGCAACATTTTTACATGATTTAATTATTATTTATATATAATTGAATGTATATGAATAATATCTTTGGTCGTGATGTGTATCAGCATTACTGGGTTCGATGGTTAATCTTGGGTCAAGAGAAGTTTGCACTGACTCCAGCGGTCACAGCGCAGGAGCTGCACTCAAGCAAAGTAATATCATCTAAATGTGAACATAAGGTTTCTTTCTGGGACATTATATATTTATATCATAATCAACCGTGAACATCTAATATTTATGGCGCAAGTTAACGACACTGAAAAAATTATTTTAGTGCACGATCTCTCGTGAGTTAATATTTCTCAGTTGATGGTATTTATCGTGATTCTGAGACCTTTCAGTTCGTTTTCTCTGGAGAACTTCTTCTCTCTCTTTGGGGCTTAAACGAACATGGAGCTGGTCAGGTCAGCGTGTTGGGTTTGATGTCCACGTTCACACATGTTCATGTTCCAGACTCGTGCATTAAAAACATGAAGCGTTAATTCGACTGTTGGGCGGCGTCCGAGCGCGCTGCACACTCATCAATAAATATGTTCTGTGGTCAGTACTCAACTGGGTTAACGGTTAATCTTGGTTCCACGTCCAACAGCAGTGCTTATATCCAGATGTTGCACACAAACTCAGGAACCCTCAGCAGCAAGCTTTCCCCCAAACATCTTCTTTTACTACTAGACTAAACCAGTTCATGAAACTCCAGATTTTTTGTCTTTGTATATATTTTATATTCTATAGAAATATATATGTATGTATTATATATATACGTAATATTATTTATATCTATATAAATATATATTTCTTGGCATTATTTATATATAATCTGACCAATCACAAAGCTGCCTGTTTGTACATTATATATTTATATTATAATCAGTGAAGATCTGAGCGTCTCAGTGCTGATAAATGAAGGGAATTATGCATGATGATTACTGGGGTGTTTGTCTGGTTCACGGTTTAAAGCTGATCACCTGAAAACACTTGAACTCACTGTCGTTAACGTGAGTTTGACGCCCGCGGCCAAACGTGATCCTGTTAACACCAGAGCCAGAAGTCCCACAGTGAGGCATCAAGCACACAAAACAAACCGAAACTCAACCTCAGACTGACGCCACAACCAGAACCAGAAAGCAGAACCAGAACCAGAACCAGTCCACGCATCAAGTCACTCAACCAGAGAGCTGACAACAACCACTGCAGCACAACTCAGCTTTTACAAACCACCAGGAGTCAGAACCAAACCGAGACTGAGCACGATCCAGGAATCACAACTCAACATTTATTTTCCCCCGCTTTGGTTTGGTTAAAACAGGATTAAAATGAACGCTGAATTAAATAAACCCTGATTTAAACCTGTTAAATGTTATGTAACAAAAACAAACTGAACATGTGATTTTCAGAAAGTTTTGCTTTTAAAAATTCTGAGTATAAGAATATTAATGATAATACTCATGGGGTTCAATGAATTAATCTGGTTCCACGTCCAAACAACATCTTATAATCCAGAGTTTCCAGCACAGCATGAAGCTCCAATCCACACAAACTCTGAAGCCTCCTCCTCTTAGACACATTTCATCTTTGAATCTGAACGATTTTCTCATCACCGTCAGAAACGAAGCTTGCTTTCTGAAACATTTAATAATTATAAATTAAAACATTAATCTTGATATTTTCTGTTTCAACATTTAAACCGGTTTGTGTTCACGTCTGTTTCCTTCAGTCGGACTCGCAACACTATGACTTCACTCGTCGTCTAACACGTAATATTGTCCGGCGCCGCGGCAGTGATCCTCTGTTTCCTCCGAAGTCGTAGGTTCGCACAGTGCGAGGCATCACACACTAAACACTGATGCAGTCTCGCCTGCAGCAGTCATAATGAGGAGTCCAGAGACTCACTCCTATCAACCAATGTCACCCAACAACCTCTGACATGCAATCATCTTCTATCACCACCATACGTAAAGACCCCGGTCTTCTCAAGTGAAAGCTCTACTTTGTTACCGGCCGGCAACCGCATGTAAATTCTGGGTATCTGGACCACGGCAAGACCCTCCAAGTTCAGCTGTCAATTACCACCATACCCCGGAGTCTCCACCCACTTGTCGAGGAAGTCGCCGGTCGTTGAAACCTCGCACAGTAGACGCGAGGGAGGGTGATGAGAAGTGGAGCGGTAGACGGTGTACTGGGAGGCCACAGAATAGGCCAGAACAGATTTGGCCGGTTGTGCCAGTATGGTCTTCCGTCAGAGCGCGACCAGAGCCAGAACGCAGAGTCCAGAAGCCATAGAAGCCAGAACCAGCAGCCAAAGAGCCAGAAGCCAGAGCAGAACCAGAGCCTCGAGCCAGGGCCAGAACCAAGCCAGAACCAGAACCAGAGCCAGAAGCCAGAGCCAGAGCCCAGAGCCAGAACCAGAGCCAGAGCCAGAGGCCGAGAAAGCAGAGCAGAGCCAGAACCAGAGCCAGAGGCCAGAGCCGATCTCAGAGCAGAACAGAGCCAGAGCCAGAGCAACAGAACCCGAGAAACCAGAGCCAGAACCAGAGCCAGATCCAGAGCCAGAACCAGAGCCAGAGCCAGAG